GCAAAAAGAAAATACAACTTTTTGTTGAGATGCTTTGGTTCTATCAATCCTCTAATGAGTTCCAAATGCAAGTTTCAAGATGGTCATCCAAATAACCACTAATTCCTAACAATTGACTTTATTTTTATGCTTTTATTTTATACTTTTACTTTATGTACCATTTACATTTCATGCTCTTTTCATCTTTGCTCACTTGAGCCTCTATCTTCATGTCATTTTTATTTTGCTCACTCGAGCTTTTCATTTCTTTTTGAAGATACCTAATAATCAACTTGAAGCCTAAAAGCTTTAATGTTACTCGGACGACTTGATTACTATCCTTGGCATTATGGAGTGGTGGACTTCTTGGACTTAGGATTAAGGACCTTGGCCTACCTTGAGACCTTGTAACCACAACTGTTATTTTATCTGGAGTTCTTGGGGTTTACCCTAAGATATTGGGTTGTTTGTTTATTTTGTGTGCAGGTTATTGTGATTACATACTTTGTCTGTAATCTAGAATTCATCTGTATACAACCGTTACTCTGCCCAATTTTTGTGAAGACTTAATGCAATTGAAGTTTGGTATTCTTAAGGGATTTATTAATTGTTTGCTTGGTTTCAAATCCAATGGATGGAATTCTACATTGAATCATTATGTCAAGTGTTGGCTTTTTGTTTGGTTAGATGGTCTTTCTCCTTAGCTTTTACCTTATGCTTTAGGATAGTCTCTTCATCTCCTCCCATCTTCTTTAATTTCAAAAATCTTCTCCCTCCTTTTGAAAAATCTTCTTTTTTTTAAAATTTGAACACTTTCATAATAAACTTGGAATTACGTCCATGTATTTCCAAAAATTATTTCTTAATCAAATTTCAATCGACTTAACAATACCTTGACATTTTTAACTAGCATAATAGCCTTCTGAGTGGTGTACTGAATGTCGTATTCTAGCTCAGGTCCTTCATACGGTCCAGGTTCTTCACAATTTATAACTAGCATAATATTCTTATCCGGGAACTCGAAATTCATAGATTAGTAGTCGTCTACGGCTTGATGCGCCAACTGATCTTCCGGTACACTTTCTTTAATAGCCTTCTGAGTGGTGTACTGAATGTCGTATTCTGTTAAGATCATTTTCCATCGGGCTATCCTTCCAGAGAGAGTTGGTTTCTTGAATATGTATTTGATGGGATCCATTTTAGAGATCAACAAAGTAGTATGGGTCAACATATACTGCCTTAGTTGGCGAGAAGCCCATGCCAAAGTGAAGCAAGTTTTCTCGAGTAATGAGTATCTTATTTCACAGTTGGTAAACTTTTTGGTAAGATAGTATATTGCATGCTCTTTTCGACCAGACTCATCATGTTGGCCTAGTACACACCCAATTAAGTTCTCACACTATTAGGTACATGATCAAAGGTCTTTCTTCGACGGGTGGTATCAAAATCGAAGGTTCTGGAGGTACTCCTTGATTTTGTCAAAGGATATCTAGCAATCGTTGTTCCACTTCACTACCTGATCTTTCTTCAATAACTTGAAGATTGGCTCACAAATAGAGGTCAGATGGGAAATAAATCTGGAAATATAATTCAGTCGTCCTAAGAAGCCTCTGACTTCCTTCTCAGTACAGGGGACTGGAATTTCTCGAATAGCTTTGACCTTGGCGTGATAAACTTCAATACCTTTACCACTGACGACGAAACCCAGGAGCTTACTGAATCTTACCCTAAAAGTGCACTGTTTCGGATTCAACGTTAGCTTGTACTTTTTTAGCCTCTCAAACAACTTGTGTAGATGGTCAAGATGTTCTTCTTCAGTATGAGATCGGGCTACCATGTAGTCGACATAAACCTCTATCTAGTGATGAATCATGTCATGGAACAAGGCTACCATAGCATGTTGATATGTTGCGCCAACATTATTCAAACCTAAAGGCATAATCTTGTAACAGAAAGTGCCCCACTGTGTGATGAAGGTTGTTTTCTCCATGTCTTCAGGTGCCATCTTGATCTGATTATAACCTCTAAAACCATTCATGAAGGAGAGTACCTTGTGTTGAGCAGTTTTGTCGACCAGAACATCAATATATGGAAGCGGAAAGTCATCCTTGGGGCTTGCCCTATTCAGATCTCTGTAATCTACACACATACGCACCTTGCCATCCTTTTTAAGTACTGGAACCACATTTACAACCCACTGAGGATATGATGTAACAGCTAAGAACCCTGCATTGAATTGCTTCATAACCTCAGCTTTGATCTTCACGGATATCTTGGGATGTATGCGACGAACCTTATGCTTTATCAGAGAACAACCCTATTTCATCGGTAGACGGTGAACCACAATATCAGTATCTAGCCCTGGCATGTCTTTGTATGACCAAGAAAAGATCTCAACATAATCATGCAACATCTGGGTTAACCTGTTCTTTATACTGTCTTCTATGTTGGCACCTATCTTGACTTATTTCCTGTCTGCTTCAGTACCCAAGTTTACAACCTTGACCGGCTCTTCATGTGGTTGTATAGCCTTTTCCTCTTGCACTAATAGTCTAGCAAGTTCTCCAGGTGTTTCACAATCTTCCTCACTTTCTTCCTCAGTTTAATAGATCGGATTTTCAAAGTCATAAGTGGCAATAGCAGAATCGTTATAAATGGGATCTAGAGTGGATGTGGATCTTCAATTTATTGTGTGGGTGTGTGTAATAACACATAGCTATTTTAGAAGTGATAAAAATAAAAGAAGGATAAAGAGCACAAAATTTGAATGCAAAATATCCAATGCTTTATTAAATGAAGATATGTTTATGAAATGACAATCCTTAACAAATGGACCATTGTGCCCCGGGTAAGGCACAAGGCTTAAAGTAATTGTTTAAAAAAAATTACATAACCAAAACTTTGAAAGCAATAAACAAAAAGTAGCTATTACTCCCGACTAAAGGAGATTGAGATAATGTCTTGAGTCTTCCAGTTGCTGAGCCCGTTGCCGATGGTCGGAAAGATCCAGTTGTCAAGGTCATAATCACTGTCAGCATCCTCTATAGCATTGACTCCATTGTTGCTGACACAATGGTGGTCTTCCAGCACGAGCGCGACGAACAGCCCTTTGAGCCTCTGCAGTGAAACCCAAACCAAATTTGTCAGATTTATACATAATGTCAGAAAGTTGACCCCTAGTACAACCATCTTCTTCTATGACGGCTCTAGCATCCTTCAAAGAAGCCATTCTGGGCGGAATCCTGGTAACCTTGGGAATAGAGGAAACATCTTCAGTAGTGGTAGGAGGGATAACTTCAAAAGTCTGACAGGGAGTCTCGATGAATTCGTCATCCATTTCTACATACCAGAATGAGTTCAAATGACTCACCATATACTCCTCTTCACCGCAAACAGTAACAATCTTTCTTTTCATAGGATATTTCAGCTTCTGGTGTAGGGTTGAGGTAACAGTGCATGCCCCATAGATCTAGGGCGTCCCAATAAACAATAATAAGCAGGTCGAATATCCATCATATAGAAGGTAGATTCGAAGATTTGCGAACCTACTTTGATCGGAAGATTCACTTCCTCGTGTACCATCCTCTTTGATCCATCAAAGGCTCTCACTATAATATCACTGGGTTTCAGTATAACCCATTTGGAATAAAGTCTGTCAAGAGCACCTTTTGGTAGAACATTTAGTGAGGAACCAATATCAATCAATACATGAGCTAGAGTAGTGCCCCTGCATTCAATAGAGATATACAAGGCCTTGTTGTGGTTCCTTCCTTCAGGGGTCAAGTCGGCATCAGAAAATCTTAGCCCATTATCAGTGGTTAGGCTAGCAACATAACTTCCAAATTGATCGGCAGAAGTCTCTTGTGGCATGTGAGCAGATTTTAAGAACTTTAGTAAAGCATGTGCATGGGTTTCAGAATACAGTAACAAAGATAACATGGAGATTTTAGAGGGGGTCTGCCACAGCTGTTCAAAAATCTTGTAATCAGTTTTGCAGATAACCTTTAATACCTCCTTCAACTCTTGCCTGGAGGTGTCTTTAGCTGCAACTTTTTCATGTGATACCTATTATACCCCAATTTTTGCCCCTAAGATCCTATGTCATCTCATAGCATCACAATGCGTCAAGATCAGGCATTTGGGTTTGACTACCTCACTCAAAGTCTATTAAACTGATGCTCTCATCATTCTTGGTACGAAACTAGGGTTTTAGGCCTACAAGCATCGTGGACAATTTCCCTAGCAGGGTTCCTCAAGCTACAAAGTTATCTTCATCAAAAATATTCTCCAAGGAACCATTACGTTAGGGTTTAATTGGTGTGCTTAAGAGTTCATCATGTTTTCAATAAAAAAATGTCTTTGAACCAGAGTTGTGTTCCTCAACTTCTCAAGTTCGTTCTTCATTAATGTGCCATTCAAAGAGAAATAGGGTTTGTTGTTCAATGCTTGAGCCTGTGATGTGCGTCAATGGGAGATTAGTGGTGGTTTTATTACAAGATGCTATCAATTTCAAATCTTATCCTTATTTTTAAGGACGTCTCGAGGCATTCCTTTGGTGATCATCAAGATAAGATTTTATTGGTTAAGTTGGCTAAGGCTTTGAGCCATGGTGAAAGATAAGAGACAAGAGATTCTCTATGATTAAAGGCATTTCATTTAATTCACTTAAGGGACTTCAAAACATGCTGATTTAACTTACAAGTAAAGGAGGGGTCTTGCACTACTATAACCTACATGAACAAAAAGTGAGGAGGATCCATACTTCATTTGAATTCAAAATTTACAAAGTTACAATTTCTTAAAAATCAAGGAAAAACCTCACTATTACAAAGACTCTTCAAGTTCAAAATCACATTACACAAATTTTGGATTCTAAGCCTAGTCATAATCCTATCTCTTCATGCCTCATAGTCTTCCACGATAGGCCTCCACGTCCTTCAAATTCGTCATGTATAAACTTCAAGTACACTATGCCTTTATCTCCATGTAATTATCGAGCCAACTTTTGTACATAAAATCTTTCATGCCTCTTTCAACTGATGGTTTCCCTGCATCAAGAGCAGTTCATAATGGTTAACCTGGATCAAAACCAATTTCCCAAAATAATTCAAAGAAAACCAGGTTATATGAATATCAGATTAGCGTAAAAGGTGAAAAAACAATAAGGGAAATTTCATGGAAAATAATAGCTCTGTTGAAAGTATAAAATCAGGGGAAATAGAAAGCTTCAAAATCATAGATTTAAACTTGAATAAAAAAAAGATCCAGCTCAACATTTTCTAATCAAATCCAAAACAATTCATAAACTAATCCCAAACTGTTTCGATCGGGACCGTTCAATCCATAACTAACTGCTCTAATCTAAGGGATGAGAAAAATTCATCTGTAAAACTTCCAGAACAATATAACCGAAACTCTAAAAGAATTCTGGAGAGGGGGATTCACACACGTTTCTCCAACTGCATCGCTGCAAGATCTCTGAAACCGCATAAGCATAAATTTCGTTCTCATCGCAACGTATCGAAGCGCACATCAACATAACACATCACTCTGTAAACCTTCACGCACAAGATCGAAACACAAAAATAGAGCGAATAATCGAAAGAAGAGAAGAGGAGTAAAAGATAATAGAAAAATCATACTAAAGAAGGAATCAAGGATGGAAGCGCATACCTGAGCTTTTACCTCTGTATTTTTCGTTGTTATAACGCCATCAAAGATGCGTCGAACGAACTCGGTCGGTAAGGCTTCATCAATATTTCCTTCTATGTTTTCTGCATTTGTTGATTGAGAACAAAGTTTGAATGATTGAATCCATGAGGAGAAGCTATCGAGAGTGAAGTCAGTAAATCAAAACTGCAACTGAAGCATTAAGGTGATGATGATGCCGAATCAGAGAAGAATTGATGAGGTTGAGCCGCACCATCAAAAGAGGATCTAAGACGGAGATGTTGACGATGGTGTTTTTGGCAAAGAAGAGATGAGACAGTGGAGGAGTTTTGAGATGGAGAGTGGTGACGCTGCGATGGATTTCGTCAAAGAAGAGAGAACAGCACTTTTCGCATAGAGAGATAGAGAGAAAGAAGAAGGTTCATTGAAGAAGCTGAAAAGTCAATCTGAAACCATATCCACATTGTTTAAAACCCTGCGTTTTCCATTTTGTTGATTAATTATTTTAATTTATTCTCAATTAAACAAATATGCAGAAGTGATAAATTGAGAATAAATGCTTATTATGGATTTCGTTTGGGCCGGGCAGTTGGGCTCAGCTTTGCTACTACACCAACATATTTCAAACATTACACCTCCCTTGTGTAGTTTTTTTTTTCTTTTTTAGTTCTTCTTTATCTTTTACTTTTATGATTGTTAGATAATAGTTGTTGTTAATAGAAATTAGTAAAAATAGGATTAATAAAAACAATAAAAAATTGTTAATTGTTTCTTAGAAATATAATAGAATTTTTCTGAGATTTATTTTTTTTAGAAATTTGGTTAGAGTTTTCTATTATTGTTTAGGTTCGGTAATCATTTTGTTGCCAAGATCTTGTGATTCACTTTTGTTTGTTGAGTTGAGTATTATGCAGGTTCATTGTTTGATGTGCGTACATGCTTGAGTTTCCGATTGTGATTTATTTTCACATCGATGATGCTCTGACACTTTTTTTGAATACTCGATCTCTGACTGTTTGTTTGTTGATGTCGGCTCGCACAAAGTATTTTGGGTTTCTTTGCTTTGGTTGTGCTTTTTATGGATATTATTGTTCATTTGGTATTATACTGCTTTCAATTTATCTCTCCACACTTTATTGCTTTCTAGATATCATGAGAAGTAGGAAATAAAGAGTGTGCGCTCGAAGTCGTTGTTTAAAGACCTGTAGCAGGAATTCCTCATTTGTTTGCTAATTGTGTTTGTGCTTATTTTTATGGGTTTGTTACTCAACTAGAATTGAGATGACGACTTCGATCTTTTGCATGCTCCCCTATAGGATTTTTACTTTCCTTTGTTGATGATCGATGATGTCACTCAGTTAGAATTGAGATAACGACTTCGATCTTTTGCATGCTCCCCATAGGGTTTTTACTTTCCTTTGTTGATGATCGATAATGTCACTTAATTAGAATTGAGATAACGACTTTGATCTTTTGCATTCTCCTCTTAGGATTTTTACTTTCCTTTGTTGATGATCAATGATGTCACTCAATTAGAATTGAGATAATGACTCTGATCTTTTCATGTTCCCTTAGGGTTTTTTTATTAGGATAGCTTTCGAGTTAGATATTAGGATTGTTATCCATACATGCTAACATAGGTTAGAGATTTCCATTTTCCATCCTTGACATAGGGCTATCATTGTAAGATAACACTAGGTTAGAGATAGGTTAGTCTCTCTTAGATGTTTTCTTCCCATTTTTGCATAATTGCATTTAAAACTAAAACTTATTTTTTCGGAAAATTTATAAAACATGTTAAACATATAAAAATCCTTTTCATGGTAAAAAATACCAACCAATTCATTTCTCTTCCCCATTCGAATTTTCTCTTCTAAGAACGTGTTGATCCCTTTCCACTATAGTGTGTGAGTCTCCAATGGTCGAGCAGCGATGGAATGGTTGAGTTTAGCATTGTTCATTTAAAAAATACAAACAAACAAAATATGTGAGTCGAACTACAATGCTCTGATTCCTTAAAAGGGATAAGTAGGCATTGGGGTAAGGCCCGAACGAGCACAACTTTTATTTTCCCTATATTATTTTTTGTTTTCTTTGTATGAATTCCCTATTAGTTTTATATCTCTTAAGAATTAGATTGAAAACACCCTTTGATTATAATAACAATAGTGGATTCCATAGAGTACTACAGACGTAAGGGGTGCTAATATCTTCCCCTCGCGTGATCGACTCCCTTACCCAATCTCTCGGTCGCAAGACCTTGATTTCTCCCTTCAGGTTTTTCTTTAATGATTTTACTTTCCCTTTATGTGGGATAAATAAATACTCAGTGGCGACTTCATTTATTTTACCACTACACCTCCGTCTGGGCAAGCTCTATTATTTTCTCTTTGCCCTGAGTCTCAACAGTTTTCTCGGTAGTGGTAACTCTAACTAGTGTAGCGACAGTCTTCGGAGAGATTTCCGGAGAGAAAACCCTTTCACTTATAGTAACTTTACTGGTCCCGACAATATTTTCAATGGTGGGATCAATAACTTCAGCACCTTGACATTCAGTAGTCAATATTTCTTGCTTGACGCCATGGTAGTAGACGTCGGCTCCATAGTTCCAAGGAATAGCTTTATTCGAAGAATATGGGATGGGTATAGGTGTAGTAATTATTAGAGGATCAACCTTGGGTTTGGCAGTGATCTATATAGGAGTGCCAAATATTACAGATACCTCTTCCAGCTCCAAGTCTTGCAATAAATTCTCAACAGACGGAATCTTCTCAACCAAAATTAGGTGACTGTCCATTAGACATTGAATACCTTCTTTCAGTAACTTACAACCATTGGGTTGGGATGCGCAATAGTAACATATTTCAATACAACTCGGAAATAAACTGGCCTGCAGTAGTTTCTTTTTGATAATCGGGAGGGGAGTAGCCAAATCACTTATAGTAGAAACATAAAGAACATCATCAATAGCACTAATGCCTTTGTCGTGCTTGGGAATTGGTGTAGTAATTACATTGGGGGTCTCGGGAGGATCGAACTCAATTTCATTTTTGTCAATCATATCTTGGATTTTGTTTTTCAAGGCCCAACAACTATTGGTGTCGTGCTCGGGGCTATTGGAATGGTAAGCACACTTCACATTTGAATTGTAACGGGGAGAGAAGGTGTTGGGATTTTGCAGAGGTTTCCTTAACGTTATCAACTCTGCTTTCAAAAGATGTTGCAATGCCTGAGACAGTGGCATACTGATCTTGATAAATTGTCTTCTCGGTGCATCTGACCTACACTGATTGTTTTGTTGTTATTGTTGAATAGGTACAGGATTAGAAATTAACACAACTCCTACAGATGGATTGTGATTACCTCTAGTACGACCCTTCTATCCATAAACATCATTTGTTTCCTTCTTACCATTATACGTCTTCTTTTTCGTACTCGAAGAAGCAACCACTTGAATATTTCCACTTCTGAGACCACCTTCGACATGTTCCTCAGTTAGAATCAGCTCGATAAAACCAGATGAGGAGCTTCCATTCAGATGTCTAAAGAAAGGACCCGTCAAAGTTCCCGTGAACATATCAACCAACTCCCTGTCAGATAAAGGAAGTTGCACCTTCCAGCCAGATCTCTCCATTTTTGGGCATACTCTTTAAACCCTTCATGAGAGCCCATGGTCATACTTTGTAAATGCACACAGGTCGGTGCAAGATCAACATTATATTGATACTGCTTATAAAAAGCAGCAACAAGGTCTTCCCAAGTGCGAATGTTAGTTCCCTCCAGTTGATAAAACCATTCAAGATGTGTCCCAGATAAACTCTCTTGAAATAAGTGAACCCATAACTTTTTGTCAACAGTATGGGCCTGGATCTTCCGAATATAAGACTGCAAATGAAGTTTTGGATAGAACACACCATCGTATTTGGCAAAAGTAGGGACCTTGAACTTGTGAGAGATAACAACCCCCGAAATAAGACCCAACTCCTTAAAATCCAGCCCAGGCACTTTCTGGATCTCCATAGCATTAAGTCGGTCTTACAGTTGTTTGTATTTGTCATCAGTGGGAGGATATTATTCAGTAGAATAGTCTTCATCAGTATCTTGGCCAGAATCAAGGTTATTATTCTCTTCATCTTTCAGACTCTTATCACCTTCTTCTTGGTTATCGTCTTCAATTAGGGGGACCTCAAAATCGAAAGCCCTATTGACTGGACCTTTAAATCTTTTACCCATATTAAGAAATATTATTAGCTTCTTAGTCTTATTTTTATTCCCTTTTGTAATGAGGGTCTTCAGCTCGTCTTGTCCCTTACCTGAGTCCAGGAACATTTGCTGAAACTAAGCGTTCTGAGCTTGAAGTTCTTTCATAGTTTGTTTGAGAGCCATCTTTTACTGAAATAAACAGCAAGAACATGAGAAAACCTATCTAGGAAGTACATGTTATGTGATGATATGCATGATATGTAAATGCAAGTGAAACGTTTTCAAGGATCTTTGTGGGATTTAAATTTGTTAAACAAAAAGGAAACAAAGAAGCTTTAGTAACAAGTTCAAATTACAATTGTCTTCTAGGCTTATAATGACAACAAAAAAAGTTACAAAGAAGCAAAATATGAACTCAAGTCTCCCATGGACGCTTCCTCTTCATGTTGACATATTCATTAAGGCTTTGTTCTTCGTGGATTCGTTTCGTCAGCTCCAATACTTTCTTCTCACTAGCATAGAACCGAGTTTCAAAGGTATCCCTTTCTTCCTTGAGTTGAATCCAAGACTTCTGTAGTTCTTCGAAGTCAGTAGGCATATCAGGATGAAGAATCGTATGAGGAACACCTCCTTCAACAACAGGTTCTATGATCACTGGTAGGGTAGCAGGATATGGCATCATAAGATTTTGAGCACGAGATCGCACTCATCTGAGGTAAGGATCTAGAGGAATGGAAATTTTATGCCCCAAAGTCCTGCTATCAATCTTATTGATCATGCCCTAATCACGTATAAACCTGTGACGGTAACTCTGAGGATCGTTCTTATAGTTTAATAGTATACCCTGGATGAGCATATCATGAGGACGGTCTCTTCGAGCATAACCAAACTGACGTAGAGCTGGGGACGGGTTGTAAGTGATACCTCCCCTTATGCCAAGGAGTGGAACATTAGGGAATTCTCCGTAACGTTAAATAATAGTGATATCCTCTTGAGATTGGGAACACCAGTGGATATCTGAATGGGTGAGTGGCATCACCCTTTAAGACCACCTCAAGCCTTATTCATTCTTCATTACTAATCGGGGGAGGTGCAAAATAAACCACCTGGATAGTAGAGGTATGCAACACGTGAGATTCCCTCGCTTCCTCGTAGTATGAGTGTGAAGAGAATGCATAATATCTCTGAGCAAAGTAGGCACCGGATTATGGATAAGAAATATTTTGATGGCGTTTACGTCTATGAGTTGGTCT